TGTTTGTTGCTAACGCTACATATTCTGCTAAATGGGGCCAAGTAAACAATCATCCCTGCATTAGACAAAGCATTCATGATCTTTGGCATTCTCAACAAAATCAAAACTGATAACGGACCCATCAGGATTTTTGTTGGCTGATGGAGCATACACCTTTTTGCAGCACGGGAGAGATTAATCGCAACCCGTGCAAATAGATACAAAAATAGCTATGTGTACAGTACTACACCAATTCTTATGACCTTATGGATCTCCTGCACATGAAATGACCAATGCCACACCCATGTCTCGGATGTTTCAGAGGGATGCTATGAAATAATTTCTCTCCATCTAAGCCATCCCAGGCCAAAGACATCGGAAGATGAGACTGAAAGATGACCAAGCAGAAGCTAATGTTGATCAACAAAGAACAGATCTATTGTCTGATCTCTGGAAAGGTGACCAACACTTGTAAAGCAGTCAGTGACTAATAAGTGAAAAACCCTGTATGAACCAAGACTTTTCAGCAACAAGAAGGCGGCAGAAAGTCTGCTGAAAATGATGCTTATGTAATCATCTGGAACATATATCATTCTGAGAGACAGACAGACACTAATAAAGGTAGCTTGGGGGATGGGTAGGGAAAAAGAAGGAAAGAGGGAGTGAGGGAGACTGACATTATGGGGTGTTGTCTATTTTAAGGAGAGAAATCTTTTTGCATTTGAAGCAGAGGAGAAAGAAACACAGATGGTCTGACTCCCCAGTGGTGGCAAGAGCAGGTGGTCTCCTCTCTTTTTGGTAATGACAGTAGCTGTCACATTATTTTGAAGTCTCCTACAGGAAAAGTAGTGACATCGATATAAAATCAAAAATAGCAAATTGATGTACTAGACAGTGAGTTTTAGTCATTTGGTCTGTGAAGAGTAAACAAAGCACAGGGCACCTGGATGCAAGAAGATAGCCCAACAACAGAATCATAGATTCCAAGGCCAGAAGGAACCATTGTGATCATCTAGTCTGACCTCCTGTAGAACACGGGCCAGAGAACTGCCCCAAAATAATTCCTAGAGCCGAGCTTTTAGAAAAACATCCAGTCTTGATTTGAAAATGGATAGTGATGGAGAATCCACCAGAACCCTTGGAAAGTTGTTCCAATGGCTAATTACTCTCACCGTTAAATATTTATGCCATATTTCCAGCCATATTTCTAGTTTCATCTTCCTGCCATTGGCTTGTGTTATGCCTTTCTCTGCTAGATTGAAGAGCCTGTTATTAAATATTTGTTCCTCATATAGGTATCTACACAGTAATAAACTCACCCCTCAATCTTCTCTTTGTTAGGCTCAAGGATCTCAGTCTATTTAGCTTATCTCTAGAAGAAAGAGAGCCTGAGACATAAGGCCTTGTATCAGAGGCCTGGTGTGAGGCTTGAGGCCTGAACTAAAGTAGTGGGCAAAGCTTTGCTGATATAAAGCAAAGTCAGGTTGTGAGCAAGAGGCAGGCCCTGCTCACAGAATGTGACAAGAACAGGGCTGATATTGCAGAAACACACATTCCTAAGTTGTGTTTGTCACAAGAATACACATGCAAACGCATTCCAGAAGGGTGGTACCAGAACACCTCGATAGCAACCCATCCCAGAAAGAGACTAGGAACATGCTGACCCATCCTAAAGATAGGGTCAGGATGACAGCATGATGGATAGCGATATTTTGATTGAACCAACAGGTACAAGGCAAAGGGTGACACCCAAATATGTCAGAGGGTGGTACCCAGATAAGTCAGGGGCAATACATAACTTGTTTGTATTGGTGTATAAAACAATGTCTCAGAGGGAGTGTTTTTATCTGGCCTTGGATGGGGGGAGGAATGGAAAGTCCCACCGTTCACTGATCTGGTCCATTGTAATGGGCATACATGTGCTAGTAGTCCATAGAGTCTGTGGGATTCTAGGACTGTGCCTTGTTGCCAATAAACCTGGCTGGGTGCCTTAGCTAAAAACCGAGTCTGTGGATTTATTGGGCAGTTCAAATGAAGTCTGCTGTCTCCGCTATCTGCGCAGAGCTGGGACAGCAAGCTGAAAGAACACACACACGCAGTCAAACATCTGTCAACAGCAAGCTTTCTAAACTTTTCGTCATTCTCGTGGCTCTCCTCTGAACCCTCTCCAATTTATCAACATCTGTTTGGAATTGTGGACACCAGACTAGCTAACTGAAAACTGGGTTGTTGTTTTTCTTGAAACTTAAAGGAAAAAAAAGTCTGGTCTTTTATCACTGTATAACGTGACAGGTTTTGCAGTAACAATTAGCATCCCTTTATCCAGTGGTCTAGCCAGCTACCTAGCATAGGTGTTTATAACATGCTGATCTCCCAGATGTGCAGAGCAAATCAGGATTAACAACTCATTCAGTCCCTCTTCACAGCAGCCAAGAATCTTTGGATTACTCTAAAGGGGCAGGTTATATAATTTTGAGGAGGTACAGCATTGCTACCAACAATAGGAAGACACTAGAAAGTGCCCCCCAGGCTAAGGTTACTTTCTCTTGGAACCGTATTTTGCCCCCAGAAGAAAAAATTTCACATAAGAAGCTTGTGCTGCCTTATGCTTCAAGAGAGTCACGTACCTATGGAGACCGAGTCACCTGTGCTGATAAGGGAGGTGTACACGTTGCTGCCCGGAGCCTGTCTGGAACATTGTGCACAAGTGGTGCCATAGTGTCTCGGCCCTTGGAGGTTACAATAGTGTAGAACAGCTTTAATTTCTGCAAACGGATATGATTTTCAAAAGCCCCTAAGTGATTTAGGAGCCTAAGTCCCATTTACAGAGAGCCTAATGAAAGTTAGGCTCTTAAGTACCTACGCCACTTTTGAAAATGGGACATAGGTGCTTTTGAAAAACATACCCAAGGTCATGATCCTTTCTATGAAGGCTGTGGCGGGGATGTGCTGTACCAGTGCATCTTCTGTCCAGCTGACCCTTTTCCTGCTAATGCCACCTACACCTTGTCCATGCAGGCTGCCTGCAGAGTCCACTAGAAGGAAGGCAACATCTGCTTTGCACTCCCACATCATCACTCCCTTTCTGCCCCTGGAGACCCTGCACCTGGATTTACACGGGCTGAAGCTGCCAAGCTCTGGGTTGACCCAAAGCTTTTAAGAAAAATAGTAAAATATTGAGAGGGCGGAAGCAGGTTTTACATCAGAGCAGGTGGCAACATGGTGAACGTTCATAATGAACTGAACCAAAACCCAGTTGTATTTTTTATCTAACAAGCGGGCAGCTGGTGTGTTAAAAGGAAGAACTAGAGGCATTCCTGAGAGAAAGTAAAAGGTAGTAAGATACCAAAGGGAAGGAAACAAAGACGTTCGTTAGCATCCATGGTGATCGAGCTGGGCATAACTACTACTTCCAACATCAGGACGGACAGAGTTAACAATAGACACCAATCCTACATTGGTGCTATGCCACCAAATGAAACCAGGCTGCAGCTGTTCTAACCCTGCTTCCTCAGTAACCTTTCCTGAGAAAGGAAGGTTAGAGACCAAAGATTAAGTGACAAGGTTGTCTCTATCTCTAGAGACTTTCTTCCTGAGCAGGGGTTCATTATCAGTTGGCTGACTTTGTACCCTCTTGGTGGAGACATTAACAATACCTAGTCAATAACACACCTAGAGGTTTTCTCCAGTTATGACAAATGGTGGGGATCTAGCTGACAAGTGGTGGGGCAAAGCTCTCCAAGTGCACCTAAAACCTCAGTGACTGAAACAGAATGAAATCCAGACTGTGAAGTGGTGTTTGTTGCCTTCTGCATTCTCAGTGTTGGCCAAGTACCCCTTTCCAGCTGCACCCCCATATTCATCAAAAGAACCAAATACTGTTGGAAGAGTTCGTTTGTTCCAAGAACCAGCCCACATACCGAACTCTCTCCCTTCCAGAGGCTGCTCATCCAAACTGAACCTGCACATCAAACTTTGAGGTTTGCCCATTGGTAGAGTATGTAGGAAGGATGATCCAGTGGGTAGGACACTAGCCTAGAACTTGGGAAACCTTCGTTCATGTCCCTTCTCTGCCACTGACTACCTGTGTGACCTGGGGCAAGTCACTTGGCCTCTTGGTGCCTTAGTTCCCTATCTGTGAAGTGGGGATAATTGCCTTGCTTTTCAGGGGTGTGGTGAGAATAAATACATTTAAGATTGTGAGGTGCTCTGAGATGTACTGAAGAAAAGTGATAGATAAGAGCTAGGATTTATCATGATGAAATACATGAAGTCCTGCATTCAAGTGAGGGCAAAGCTGATTCTCTAGAGCAGGGGTTCTCAAACTGGGGGTTGGGAGCTGTCAACCTCCACCCCAAACCCTGCTTTGCCTCCAGCATTTATAATGGTGTTAAATATATTAAAAAACGTGTTTTTAATTTGAAAGGGGGGGTCACACTCAGAGACTTGCTATGTGAAAGGGGTCACCAGTAAAAAAAGTTTGAGAGCCACTGTCTAGAGCAGTGCCATTTATTCCCCATAAATGTTGCTTTCTGTGGGTGGTATTTCTGTGAATGTCAGTGATAGTGGCATGTGTGTACAGCTAGTCGCAGTTACCGGGTCAGAGAAGGGGTTCGCATCTCTATAAGGGAGAAAATTCTACTAGTGCATCATCCTTTTGCCTGCAGGCACTCTCCCTGATTGAATGTGGCCTCCAGTACCTTTAGTTGCTACAGCCAAGGAAATATTTCTATTTTCCTTTTTAAAGAGTGGCTAAGCAGAGGGTGTTACAGAGGAGAAAGGAAGCTCTCGTGACCCAGGTTTGCTTTTGACTCAGTCATAGAGATTTGCTTTGAAGTGTTATTGCCTTTCTTCTATTCCATGGCATTCGCTCTGTGATGTTAGCGCCTGTAACCTCTGCTCAGTGCATTCCAAAGGGAATTCCTCAACTGCTTGTGCAGGGCTAGAAATGCCACCACTCAGTATGCAGAATTCCAACACGGCGCCACTGAGTTATGTTTAAACCATATTCCAAAGTTTACCTTAGTTCCTTGAAGGGGTCTGCCCTGACACTGGGAGTTTCTATAGATTTAGGGAACACTGTGCCTTCTGCTCCTGAAATAACAAAACAGAACACAAGTTGTAGATGTTACAAACTGTAAGCAGGGGAGTGACTCTCAAATCATACTTGGCACAATTTACAGGTTAGCTGACCCCCCTGCATGCCCCCGCTCCATCCTCACAAGTAACTGGGTTCAGAATGCTGAGCTGAATTTTCAAAACTGGCTGCCTCGTTTGCACCCAGAACCTGGACTCTGCACAATGCAATCGCTTTTGTTCTGAGGATGGAAAAGATTCAGACAGCCATTTTAGAAAATTTGATCCCTCATTATGCATAAATGTCTCTAGTACAGATGCACACTTCATTAGCTAATACAGATGCATAACATGAAATTATTTATATTTTCTTGCTGCGATGGACTTAAAGGAGAGAACAAAATCCCAGGTTAATACAGCCACCTCAAAAGGTTCGCAGTGACTTGCATGCTGAATAGGGAGGTGGTGCTGTCCAGTGAATAAACTACAGGACAAGAAGGCAGGAGACCTGGGGTCTAGTTCTGCCACTGATTTTGTTGTGTGACCTTACACAAGTCACTTGATCTCTCTCTGTTTCACATTTCCCATCTGTACAAAGGGGATGATAATGGTTTACTTACCTTTTTCCGATCTCCAGATGCCAAGTACCAACTATGATTCATAAATTTATAAATATTAAGGCCAGAAGGGACCCTTACGATAAATTAACATGACCTCCTGTATAATATAGACCATATAATTCCATCCAGTAATCTCTGCATCAAGTCGATATTTTGTGGTTGAACTATAGCATATCTTTTAGGAAGACAGAGTCTTGATTTAAGTACTTAATGTTGGAGAAATATCTTCACTGTTAAAAATTAGCACTTTATTTCAAGTCTGCATTTATCTAGCTTCAATTTCCATGTTATGTCTTTGTTTGCTGGATTAAAGAGCCCTCTACTATCAGAAATCTTCTCCCTTTGTAGGTACTTATAGAGTGGGATCAAGTCACCTCTTAATCTTCTCTTCGGTAAGCTAAATAGATTGAGTTTACTAAATCTTTCACTGAGGTCAGTTTACCAGACCTCAAATCATTCATGCTCTTTTCTGAGCCCTCTCGTTTCCAACATCCAGAACTAGACTCAGATTTCAGTAATGGTGTCACCAATGCTTTATAGAGATAATACCATCTCCCTTCTTCTACTCAATATTCCCCTGCTTATACATCCAAGAATCACATTGTCCCATTTACCCCTAGCATCATATATATGTGCAGCTGGTTATCAGTAATGATCTTTAAGGCCCTGATTTTTAAAGGTATTTAGGCATTGTGGAATTTTAAAAAGCGATGTACACACTTACAAGCCAAAATCCACAGGTGCCTAAATCCCTTAGGAAAATGAGATTTAGGCTCTTAAATCAGTTAGGTGTTGGAAGGCCAAGCAGTGCAATGCCTAAATACCTTTAAAAAATCTGGGCCTAAGTCCTTTTCAGAGTCTCTGCTTTCCAATATACAATCCCCTATCCTGTAAGTGTGACCTACATTCTTTGTTTCTAGATCTATGACCTTGTATTTGACTGCATTAACACACATGTTCAAACAAATTCAGCTTAGCAAGAAATCCAGAGAACTTTGCGTAACTATCCTGTATACCTTATCACTATTCATCACCAGTTTTAATGGCATCTTGCAAACTTTACCAGCAGTGATTTCATATTTTCTTCCAGATGAATGATAAAAGATATTTAATAGCATTGTGCCGTGAACAGATCCCTAGGGGCCATGACTAGAAACCAACCCCTTTCCAATTACTTTGTGAGATCTATCAGTTAACTGGTTTTTAATTAATTCAATACGTGCTACATACTTACTTACTATTCCTATGTGCACTTCATAAGCGAGCAGTAGGAAATTCTTTGTATGTATATATTTTTTGAGATGAAAAAGAAAAGTAAGGTTACCTACCTCATAGTAACTGGAGCTGTTCAAAATATGTGGCCCTATGGGTATTCACTGTGGGTGTGCACGTGCTCTGCATGCCTGGGACTGGAAATTCTTCAATAGCAGTATCCATTGGTCCATGCCTACATGTCCTTGTGCTGTGAACCGAAGGCATAAGGAACCCTGACAGTTTGTGAAGGAGGGGCTCCCGTTATCTTATAGCAGAGGAGGATGCAGTTGGAAATCCATTTGAGAGTCTTTTGGAAGATATTGTCTCTCCTTTCACTCTCTTGGTTATAGAGACGAAGAGCCGTGGAGAATTCGTAAAGGGCCTGGACCTATCTAGGTAGAAGGGCAGAGCTCTGTGTACATCTACGGAGTGAAGTTTCCTGCCCTCTCTATTCCTGTTAGATTTGGGGTAAAATACAGGTAGGTGATCCATCTGGTTCAAGTGAAAGTCAGAGGGTATCTTGGGGATAAATTTAGGATGCATTCCCGTTGTGAAAGATATAAGGCAGATCTGTTATAAGTGCCCTTACCCTCCTGTCTGAGCTGATATCTGTGAGGAAGTCTACCTTCACTGATAAGTACAACAGGGAGCAGGAGGCTAAGGGTTCAAATGGCGGGTTCATGAGTCCAGAAAGTACCAGGTTCAGGTTCCAAGTTGGCGTAGGTCTTGATACTGGTGGGAATGTTCTGACAATGCCTTTTAAGAATTTGACTGCCGCAGGATGGTTGAAAATTGAACAGCTCTCTCCCGGAGGATGAAAAGCATTGATAGCTGCTAAATGAACCCGTAGTGAACTGGTGGACAGGCCCACTGACTTCAAGAGGAGGAGATAGTCCAGGATAACAATTTCAGACTCCTCCAGAGGCAAATGATGCTTATGGCGTCACACTTTTTTGAACTGGGTTGCCTACTATTGAGAAAGAAAGACCGGACCTCCTCTGAGCACGCTCTGTCTGTTGCCCATCCAAAAACCAAGCTGTCAGATGGAGAGATGCCGGGCTGGGATGGTTGGTTCTGCCTCTGTTCTGTGACAGAAAGTCTGGAAACATCTGTAGGTGAATTAATGGTCAGGACACCATATGGCAGCTTGCTTTTCTTCCCCTTGTGTTAAGGAGATCTGGTTCTATTGCTCCTCGTTGGCTTATGGAGTTCACCTCCTGTTCGAAAAGTGTCTTGTGAGAGGGATGGGGAGGGGGGGTTTGTAGAAGAGATGGACAGGAATTTGATTGTACAGCCAATTGAGATGTTGACTAGGGCCAATTTTCTGCAGCTAAGTGCTGCCACATGAGAAGAAAATGGGCCGGGAGGCCACCAAAGGAAGTGGGGGAGACTGGTTGTGAAAGGACAGGTTGACATTTCTCTTTCATCCTGTCAAAATGACTTCATGATAGATGGCTGGGTCAGGAGAGGGGACGGTGGTGGAGTGATGTGTCTGCCATGCTGTAGCCTCTGGTGCTTCCTCGGCGGCTCATACGGCTTCTGGTGGTAGGACACCTGTGGGGCTGGCTGGGATCTTTGCTGTGGCAACTTAGAATATTTTCTGCAAGGTGGAGAGGTGGTGCAAGAGTCTTTGAGTGAGTGAAGTGATTCACTGGCTCATTCACTGAAAAGGTTGTTATCCTTGAAGGATCATGTACTGTGGCCTGAACCTCCTGGGGAACCCCGATGTCTGCAGCTAAGAAGCCCACCTCATAACCAAAACAAACTCCAAGTTAGTAAAGTCAGATTTTGATGAGTGCCTGGTCGTTCACAATACTGAACAGCTGGTTGGCTGAAGAAAAGCTCTTTCTGTCAAAGAGATCAAGTCTCCTTGTCCAAAGGAGTGGACTGTGGTGGGTGTAATCTGTTCTGCTCCGTGTCTGCTTGGACAACCAGAGAGTTCAGGTTTGCGTATGAGAACAAATATTCCATGCCCTTAGAGGGAACAAAATACTTATTTTCAGCCCTCTTTGGGAAAGTAGCACAGATGGATGGTACCAAATGTCCTTAGCAGGATCCGAGATGGCCTCATTGAGAGGGAGACATCAACAGGAGAATGTGCAGGAGTTTGTGTGTAGAATCCGAAACCTCTTCCAGTGGAATCTGGAGGGTTTCAGCAACCTTCCGCGTAAGATCTTGGTACTGTCTGTCATCATCCGGAGTGGGAAAGGGTTGGTGCCTCCCCTTCCTCTGAAGATGAAGACACCATTGGCAGATCTGGAAGTACCGGCTGCTCTGTTTGCTCTGGTTCCTTCACCTGCCCTGGGGGGCAGCTGGAAGTGTTCCACTGGACGTAATCTCTGATGAGATCGGTGCCCCATGGGGTCAAAGTCTGGGGCTTGATAGTTAGAGCCCTGCGTGGATACAAAATTTGTATCCACATCCGATCCACAAGCATAGTCCGCGGATATAAAGTGGATATCCACAGATTTGCCAGGCTCTATTGATAGTAAGGGTCCTAAGAAGTCTAGTATGGCTAGTGAGTGGGACCACAGGGATGGGGGATGGACCTAGGAGGGTACCATTGATCCCTGGATGTCAGGAATGGGTCACAGTGATGTAGGGGACTCTGGGAGGCTCTGGAAGTCCTATTCAGGATGATGCCTTGTGTATGGAATGTTGGGACCAGAACCAGCGGTAGAAGCTCCTGTTTTTCCTCGGAGTAAGATTCGCCCAACTTAAAGGACAGAGCTGTTGGTACCATTCTTGTCTCATGGCAGCTTGGACTGAGGTGTACTCTGGCAAGAAGCACCCCGATAGTGTGAAAGAGTCAACCGCTCTGCTAGTGGTCAGGACTGGTGAGTGACGGGAGGGTGGGTGGGTGGAGTGGTGATATCTCTCACTAGCACTAGGTCCGATAGGAGGAGAGACTCCAGATCTGTGTAAATGGCCAAGTTCTTCAGAAGGGCGTACTGAGGTCTGGCAGCAGGAGAACTGATAAGAGTCTTTGCTAAGGGAATTATCGGTGTGGTTTTTGGTACAGTGAGGTACTGTACCACCAGTGCAAAGGGGAGGTGCTCTTTACTGTCCTTACACATCTTTGTGGGTGGTTTCAGAGCACTGGATGCTCCTGGTACCATCGGTGCCAGCCTGTGTCCCCCATGA